AATTTATTTATTTATTATTTATTTTTTTTTTATTTTTTTGAGACAGAGTTTCGCTCTTGTTACCCAGGCTGGAGTACAATGGCGCGATCTCGGCTCACCACAACCTCCGCCTCCTGGGTTCAGGCAATTCTCCTGCCTCAGCCTCCTGAGTAGCTGGGATTACAGGCACATGCCACCATGCCCAGCTAATTTTTTGCATTTTTAGTAGACACAGGGTTTTACCATGTTGACCAGGATGGTCTCGATCTCTTGACCTCGTGATCCACCCGCCTTGGCCTCTCAAAGTGCTGAGATTACAGGCTTGAGCCACTGTGCTTGGCCTTGCTGTATTATTTTAAAGCAAATCCCAGATATCATGTGATTTGAACTCTAAATACTTAGGACTACATCTCTTCACTCCTAAGGACTTTCAGTTTTCAAGGTAACCACTGGGCCATTTTCATGACTAATGAAGTTAACAGTATCTTTTTTTTTTTTTTTCTTTGAGACAGAGTCTCACTCTGTTGCCCAGGCTGCAGTGCAGTGGCATGATATCAGCTCACTGCAACCTCCACTTCCCGGGTTCAAGCTATTCTCTTGCCTCAGCCTCCCAAGTAGCTGGGATTATAGGTGCACACCACCGTGCCTGGTTAATTTTTATATTTTTAGGAGTTAGGGTTTCACTGTATTGGCCGGGCTGGTCTTAAACTCCTGACCTCAGGTGATCTGCCTACCTTGGCCTCCCAAAGTGCTGGGAATATAGGCATGAGCCCACTGTGCCTGGCCAACAATAATATCTTAATACCATCCGACACTGAGTTCGTAATCAGATTTTCCCAGTTATCTTGAAACTCTCTGTTCTTGTCCCTCTCTTGCCTCTCTCTCTCTGCCTCCTTTTGTGCCTGGCACCTTGGACTCCCCGTCTCTGCCCTGTCCCCTGATATCCTGTCTATGCTTCTCTTGGATTTGGGGGCTGTAGGCTCACTCTCCTCTCTTCCCACATCATTCTCCAGCATGGGAGCTAGTGGGTGGAGAGAAGTATGTCTGTGAGCAAGAGGAGACCCCTGTCCTCAGGGAGATCCCAGGCCGGTGGGGCAGGAGAGTAGGGCAGGGCCTGCTTTAGTGGGAGAGCTGGAGAGTGGGGGTGACTTGTCTGTAGCCCTTTGTCAGGGGGCCGTTGGAGGAGGCAGGGCCTTGGAGGCTAGGCAGGCCCCTACACTCTACTGCTTCCCCTGCCTTTTCTCCCCAGGAGGACACACGGGCTCAGCGACAGCGGCTGCAGAAGCAAATGACTGAGCATCTGCGCCAAAGCTGGGGTCCGCTTGGGGCCCCCACACAAGCCCGAGACTTGGGAGAGCTGCTGCAGGCCTGGGGTGCTGGGGCCAAGACTGGTGCTTCTAAGGGGTCCCGCTTCACACACTCTGAGAAATTCACCTTCCATCTGGTGGGTGCACCTGTGGACATGGGATATGCTGATGGGCGTGGCAGGCTTGGAGGGTGGCTTTTTGCATATGCACCACCCCTTTATCCACACGGGGTCCTGTGTTCTCACTGGACAGGCCCTCGCCCCACTGCGGGGTGGGTACCCAGAGGGGTCCCCTTGCTTTGCAGGGACTTGAGAAAATGTGGATAGGTGGGAACCATGCAAGGCTGTGAGGGCGTTCTTAGGGCAACATCCCCTTGCCCTAGGTAGTTTCCTCTGAGCGTATCTTCTCTCCTAAGATGTCCACTCTGAGGGGCCCCCGTCCTTCTCATGGGCATTTGAGGCTTGAGATATGGGGCAGGTAGGTAGGAGCTGTATCTGGGTCAGGGAGCTTATTCCACAAGCAAGCACTCCGGCCTGGGGTTGCAGATGGTGCCTTTACCCTCAGAGTCACAGGCCGCCATCAGTGGTTGAGTGGGCATGCATGCAGCACCAGGGACAGTTCTCAGGGGAGGCTGAGGCTGGGCCACATGAGGAAGGGCCTTCCCTGACAGCCAGGATGCCCCTTGTCACTCCCTCAGGAGCCCCAGGCCCAGGCCACTCAGGTGTCAGATGTGCCGGCCACCTCCCGGCAGCCTGAACAGGTGAGCAGATCGGGGTGGAGGGGTGGTGTCTCAGCCCCTTGCTTGTCTACTGAGCCTGATACCCCAACCCTGACTGGCCTGGGCCTCCCAGGACATGTGGGCAGCTCAGGAACAGGAGCTTGAGTCCCTTCGGGAGCAGCTAGAAGGAGTGAACTGCAGTATTGAGGAGGTTGAGGCTGACATGAAGACCCTGGCCATCAGCTTTATGCAGGTGAGGGGCGGGGCAGGGGCTGTGTGTTGGGGTAGGTCAGAAGGAGGGCCTCGGGGTGTGAGGGACTAGATGGGGCAAGAGGTGCTCTGTAGAGGTCTGCAAATGGCAGAAGGGTTCCTGGGAGCTGTTGGGGATCTGTGGGGCTCTTGAGGGTGGCTGTGAGAATCAGGCCAGGGTGAGGGTCTGTGAGCATCTGTGGGGCACTGTAGGCCTGCATGGGCAAGGGATTGGGGGGTCCTTGGAGGGTCTGTGGGCATCTGTGGAGCACTGTGGGCCTGCATGGGCAGGGGATTGGGGGGGTCCTTGGAGGGTCTGTGGGCATCCGTGGGGCACTGCGGGCCTGTGTGGGCAGGGGATTGGGGGGTCCTCGGAGGGTCTGTGGGCATCTGTGGAGTACTGCAGGCTGCATGGGCAGCAGATTGGGGGGTCCTCGGAGGGTCTGTGGGCATCTGTGGGGCACCACAGGTCTGCAAGAACAGGAGATTTGGGGGTCCTTGGCACCAGTGTGGAGCTGTTAGAGAGGGCTGTGGGGGCCACAGGGGTGTATAGTCATCTGTGGAGCTCCATGGGGGCTGTGGCGTGTGACCGGGTATCTGTGGGTCAGGCAGAGTCTGAGTGCCGGCAGAGTGAGCTCAGCACAGCGGAGCGTGAGCAGGCCCTGTGCCTGAAGAGCCGCGCAGTGGAGCTGCTGCCTGATGGGGCGGCCAACCTTGCGAAGCTGCAGGTGGGTTTGGGGCTGTGGCTGGGCAGGGAGGGGTAGGGTGGGGTGGGGCGGGGTTGGAGGGCCTAGCCTGTGTGACACATACCCACCCCCCACCAGCTTGTGGTGGAGAGTAGTGCCCAGCGGGTCATCCACTTGGCGGGTCAGTGGGAGAAGCACCGGGTCCCGCTTCTCGCTGAGTACCGCCACCTCCGAAAGCTGCAGGATTGCAGAGAGGTAAGCAGTGGGGCCCTGGGCTGTGGGTGGGCCAGGGCAGGCTCGGTCCCTCTTTAGAGGCCATCCCTGTGCTCTGCTCAGTCTTCTGCCTGTGGGCTTCTGGCAGCTGGAATCTTCTCGACGGCTGGCAGAGATCCAAGAACTGCACCAGAGTGTCCGGGCAGCTGCTGAAGAGGCCCGCAGGAAGGAAGAGGTCTATAAGCAGCTGGTACGGCCTGTGTGAGGGACCTGGGTGGCTTAGGAGGGTGAGGGGTGGGTCCTGGGGGAGTGCCTGCTATGTCCCTGCCTAGGTGTCAGAGCTGGAGACTCTGCCCAGAGATGTGTCCCGGCTGGCCTACACCCAGCGCATCCTAGAGATCGTGGGCAACATCCGGAAGCAGAAGGAAGAGATCACCAAGGTACACTGCCAGGGCCATGGAGGGTGGGTCATGTGGGCTGTCAGGCGTAGTGTGGCAGCACGGGGACCTCACACCCCCAGGTAGACAGAGCTGTCCAGCCACACCCTGACAGAACAGTCACACACAATCCATCCCAGTCACCCCTGATGATGACACAGTCCCTGTCTGCTGCACATGAGCACCCTCTACTGCCAGCCACCCTGCCCCAGGCAGGGGCTCATGGCTACGATGGTGTCTGCCAGATCTTGTCTGACACAAAGGAGCTTCAGAAGGAAATCAACTCCCTCTCTGGGAAGCTGGACCGGACATTTGCAGTGACTGATGAGCTTGTGTTCAAGGTGTGGGGCAGGCTGGGTGGGGGTGAGTGGGGTGAGGCTGGGCTGCTGCCTGTGCATCTGCTCACGGGCTGGCTGGGGTCCAGACCCGGGCCCTGTGCGAGGCTGGAGGTGCACTGATGCCCAGGGCTGGCTTTGTTCCATGGAGGATGAAGCTAGTGGGACTGTGGGAGAGGGTGGCCTTCTTGGGGCATAGAGATGGTCGGGGGCAGCCCACTGATACCTTCGAGGTCCCTGTGTCTGGTCAGGATGCCAAGAAGGATGATGCTGTTCGGAAGGCCTATAAGTATCTAGCTGCCCTGCACGAGGTGAGGGAAGTGTGCCTGGGGCGGGACCACTGGGGGTGGGTGGGGCTGGGTGCAAGCCTTTTTCCTGTCCCCAGAACTGCAGCCAGCTCATCCAGACCATCGAGGACACGGGCACCATCATGCGGGAGGTTCGAGACCTCGAGGAGCAGGTGAGGCCTGGGGGCAGGATAGGGAGCCAAGGCAGACCAGGGACAGTTCCTCAGGTTACGCTGAGAGAGGCCATGGAGTCAGACAGCCTACGGTCAGAAGCCCAGCCCTGCCCCCTAGTGCCTGTGCCTGTGACCTAGGACAGGCAAGTGGCCTACTGTGAGCCCCAGCTTCCACCCCAAGGGCCCTCCTGCCTGCTTCCCAGGGCCATGAGCAGAGGCTTCAGCTTGAAGACGTAGGGGGAATCCTGCCAGGTGGCGAAGGATGCTTTGGGTGGAGGGAACACCACGTGAGAAGGCCTGGGCATGGGACAGAGCAGGCTGTGGTTGGAGGCGGTGGGAGGGGCCCAGAGCAGGCTATGATGGGGGCTGGCGAGCAGGAGCTGGGAAAGGGGCTGTGTGTGCTGAAAGGGCATGTGTTCACGTTGCCTCAGATCGAGACAGAACTGGGCAAGAAGACCCTCAGCAACCTGGAGAAGATCCGGGAGGACTACCGAGCCCTCCGCCAGGAGAACGCTGGCCTCCTGGGCCGGGTCCGGGAGGCCTGAGGAGCCGCCGGCAGAGGTCTCTCCCCAGCCTCAGGCAGGGATTTGGGGTGCTGGAGGCAGTGGCCAAGCACTTGCCTTCGCTACTCCCTCTGCTGCCCAGTTCCTTCTGCTGCCGCCTTGGACCCAGACCCCTGCCCACTGACCACAGCCCTTATCTGGGGTGATAGTCCAGCATGTGGGGAGCTCAGCTGCAGTTTATTGGGGAGGGTACTGTGGGTTGGGGGCCTTGGATCCCAAATAAATGAGTTCCTCTGCAGTCTAAGCTGAGGCATGGATCAGGGCTCAGGGCATGGGAGTGAGGTGAGTGGCAGGGGAGACAGGGTATTTTTGGCAAGTCAGTGTGTGTGGCTATGTGTGTCTGCATGGGACTCAGACCCACTGGGGGGCTGTGTGTGTGCACATGTGTGAGATATGCAGGTGAGTTCTAACGGGCCATGTGTGTGACCGAGCATGTGTCGGGAGCTGCATGAGACCATGTATGAGCAATTATGTGTCTGTGTGGCTTTGTGGGACCTGAGATCCTGAGGGTACTGATGCTGCTTCTGTGTAGGCCTCTGGGCACACCCTTGTGTGACAGTGCCCCTGTGGGACCTGAGGCTGGCTGTGGGTGTGTGCCTTGGGGTATGTGGGTTGTCAGGGCCAGGCTTGTGTGTGATTGTGTGATGACGCAGCTTTGAGGTTGTTCGAGTGTACTGAGGCAGGCTCTCTGTATTTTGGGATTTGTGTTGAGTGAGGGACAGGATTGTGACATTTTGTGTGTCTGTGTGACTTTTCCAGCCCTGAAGTCATCTGTGCGAGCAGCTGAGGCAGGCTGTTTGGCTATAGGGCTCGACTGGGGGGTGTCTGGGGTAGAGGTGGGGGCTGGGGCTGGGACTGGAGCCCCTCTGACCAGCCTTGGGGCAAAGGATATGATGGGGGAGGGGGTGGCTGCCAACAGGGGAACAGGGGCCCTTGCAGGCAAGATGGTGGAAACCTCGCTTCTTGGTCCCTGTGGGCACATCCAGGGCCTGTCATCCCTGTCCCCACCACCTCTGCCTCCCACCAGTTTGGCCCCTGTTTTGTCCATCCTCTTTTCCTTGGTCCTGAGGTCAGGGGCCAGGTGTAGGGTTGGAACACCTGCTGGGCCTCTGGCTCCGTTTCTTGCGGAACTCCAGCTCATCCACGGTCCACACAGCCCCCTTCTCACTCTCCACTCGCACGAAGCACTTGTGCAGGCTCAGGTTGTGGCGAATGGCGTTCTGTGGAAGGCCGGGTGGGTGTCAACCTCTGAGGCCAGCAGCCGCCAACAACCCACCTCCCGATCCTCCCCAGTGTGCCTATCAGCCCAGCCCCAGGCCTGCTCACTTAGAGCTGTGGTGGCATTCGAGGCCATCCCAGCCACCACCACCTCCAGAGGAGCTCACCTTCCAGGTGGCAGGATGGTTTCTGAAGAAGGCGAACATGCGTGTGAACCAGTGGTAGATCTCATTGAGTGTCCGCTGCTTCTCTGGAGCCTCCAGGATGGCCTGGAAGTTGGGGGGTGGGGTAAGGGGCACGTTCCCCAAAGTTGGGGTTTAGAAGGGCTGTGGCCTACCCTGAGCCATCTGACATGGGGGTGGAATTGCAGGGACAGGTGATCAGGGACAGGACTAGATGTGGGGTAAAGCACGGAGTCAAAGATGGTGTTAGAAAAGGGGTAAAGTGTGGGGCCGGGCAGGGTTCGATGCAGGGTGTGGGTATGGTTGTCTGGGATTAGGTAAGGGATCGGGGCTGAGGTTGGGAGTGGGTCTTGTTCAGGGCTCAGGCTGGAGTGAGGTGAAAGGTCTGGGATGGAGTTGGAGCTGGGGTTCTCCATGGGGGTGACATTTTAGGGTTGGGGAAGGTAAAGGATCAGGAGTGGGGTCAAGGATTTGGAAGGGGTAAAGGGCCAGGCAGACTTAAAGGTCAGGGAAGAGGTGGGTTAAGAGTCAGGCTGGGAGTGGACTCAGGTGGGTCTAGGGCAGGCGTCCCCAAACTTTTTACACAGGGGGCCAGTTCACTGTCCCTCAGACCGTTGGAGGGCCGCCACATACTGTGCTCCTCTCACTGACCACCAATGAAAGAGGTGCCCCTTCCTGAAGTGCTGCGGGGGGGGTCGGATAAGTGGCCTCAGGGGGCCGCATGCGGCCCACGGGCCGTAGTTTGGGGATGCCTGGTCTAGGGGTTAAGGATGGGATGACGTGGCTTTAGGTCAGAAGCCAGAGATGGGTCGAATTATCGAGTATCTTACATGTCAGGGACATGGTTAGGTGGTTAGGCTTGGGGCAAGGATGAGGTTAGTTGTGGGGTTTGGTGTGGAGTGAGGCTGAGGGTCAGATAATTTGATCAGTTTGGATTCAGGAATGGGATTACAGAGTTAGCGATGATGATTGCGGTAAGGTCGTGAGCCAGGATGGGACTAGGTTAGGGCTTCAGTTCAGAGACAGTTGGGGAATGTCTGGTATCATGTAGGGGTTAGGATCAGGTTTGGGATTAGGTGTGGGGCTAGGATGAAGTTTCTGAGAAGGCACTGGGGAGGCTGAGATGAAGGAGTTGGGATAGGGTGATGAAGTTAAGGGTCAAATGGGTGTTATAAGGAAGGGTTGGGGATGGGGCCCAGCCGGGGGTATATTGACATACTGGGGCACATTGGGGCCAGGGAAGGAGATGGGGTTGGGTTGGCATAAAGGCAGGGGAAGGAGTTAGAGTAAGAGCTAGGGTATGTCTATGGCAAAGGGCAGAGATGGGGTTAGTTTGGGGCTATTTTATAGATCCAGAAGAGGGTTAGGTATGGGCCTGAGGTGGATATCTGGAAAGGGGTAGGTTTAGGGTCAGAATTTGGCGTGCTCTGGCCTGGATGGTGGTTTAGGTTTGGATTCGAGGACAGGATCCTCTGTGAATCACTGTTTAGGGTGAAGCCAGGAGGAGGGGTCACATTTGAGGCATGGCTTGGGGCTCCTTTGGGCTGGGGCTTGGAAATGGAGGAGCCCACTCTGAGGGCACTCAGAGAGAGACAGGAGTTCAGGAGTCAGGTCCCCCACCCTGTCCTTCTCTTCCTCCTCCTTGGGGCTGAGCTGTTCTGCTTACCCAGCGGATGAGCGTGGCGTAGGTGAAAGGGGGCCGCATGTTGTGGAACTTGAAGTAGTCCATGTTGTGGAGGAACTCTGGCAGAGGGTGGGGATGAATCAGGCCCCATGTAGGACCTCCTAGCTAGCTCCCTGTCCCCTCCCCCTACAAGGTGAGTCTACAGGCCTGAGATCCCACCATCAACACCTGTGTCCATGGGCACAGGTACTGTCTGCTGAGCACCTGACATAAGTTGTATATTTTTTTTGCACCACTTCCGCCAAAATAGTTCTTCCCAAGGTTGAAAAGAAGCGGAGTAATGTGGACACCAAAGGGATACAAGAGGTTAAATGGCAGAGCCGGGATGCCAGTCAAGGTCTCTGATCCCTGCTAAGCCCACAGGCCAGGCCTGGTGGAGAGCAGTGGATTGGTGAGCTTGGGTGAAGCCATCCCAATTTTCCTTAGTCAGGGGAGGAAAGGAGGTGTCCCTGTGATTCCTTAGCAGGGCCCTCCCTTCTGAGGACTGAATGGAGTAGCAGGAGTCCAGAGTGGGTGAGGCATGACCTCAATCCCCAACGGACACAGGGCTATGGCAGGACACTTGAGACTCTAAAAGGTCGCGGACATCCTGAGAGGAAGCTTTTGTGGGCGGATGCATTTTCCCAAAGACTGAGTGGTGGTAGCTGCGGTGGTGGTGGTGGGAAGGGGCAGTATGGAGCTCCTTTGCACCCTCCTCCCAGAGCCGGTCAGGATTAGGAGCTTGGGGACACTGTGTAGCGCAAGGACTATTCTTACCTGGGAATGTGCTGTTTCCATGGCTGCCCCACAGGTGCCTCCGCACAGCAAACAGGCTGTCGGGGGCCTCCCGGGGGCCAGACCAGGCTGGGACCATGCTGCCTTGGCTGCCAGCAGCTACAATGCAGCAGGAGGCCTTGTCAGATGATGCCTGGGAGGGGAAGAGGCTGGTGACCCAGAGGCTTAAACTTTCCACTTTTTAATTTTTTTTTTTTTTTTTTCTTGCTCTGATTGCCCAGGCTGGAGTGCAGTGGTGTGATCTCAGCTCACTGCAACCTCCGCCTCCCAGTTTCAAGCGATTATCCTGGCCTCAGCCTCCTGACTAGCTGGGATTACAGGCACCCACCACCACATCTGTCTGATTTTCGTATTTTTAGTAGAGCTGTGGTTTCACCATTTTGGCCAGACTGGTCTCGAACTCCTGGCCTCAGGTGATCCACCTACCTCGGCCTCCCAAAGTCCTGGGATTACAGACCTGAGCTATTTCGTCTGCCCCCACTTTATTTTTAAAACAGTGTTTTGCAAAGCAAGGACGCCCTCTTCTCAATTCCAGTCTGAGGTAGAATCCCACAAAACAGCATGAGCCGTATTTATTAGAGCAGGGGTGCGGACGCCATATGTGGCCACCGATGCTGGGACCATGAGCTGGGGTTGAATAGGGGTTTTTACCACCCAACTGGGACCTTGGGAAAGTCACCTAAACCTCCCTGCCCTCAATTTTCCTCATCTGTATATTGACATCCTGAGAAATAAATTACCACCAGCAAAGCGCTCAGAAACAGTGCCTGGCCCCCATGGCGGCTTCATGCGCATGTGACCTGTGTGGTTATGTGACACCCTGTGCTTTGTTTAATGCTCTGTGGTTGCCATCTTGAAATCTGAACAAGGGGCCCTGTAGGTTACATAGCTGGTCCTGCTGGCACACAGCCTGCGTCTTTGGCTATTTGCATTTGCTTTGACAACTCAGGATCACAGTGTTTGGGAATCTTGGGGTCAGAGGGTTTGTAAGTGGAGGGGGATAGATTTCTAGGTCCGGGCATGTTTGGAGCCGGGGACAGGGGCCCCTAGCTCTCAGGGCCTGCATGTGAGGTTAGGTTCCCTGCACCCTGCAGGCCTCCTCCCTGCCCCCCAGCAGTCTGAGTCTGCCACCAGCAGGCCTGGGGTTGCTCACCACAGATGGAGCCTTGGGCACTGCCATTTTCCCGGCCAGGTGGGCCTGCATAGCACTCAGCTTCTCCTTCTCCAGCACCAGCTGTGAAATGGCACAAACATGAGGCCTCAGCCTGGCCTTTCTCTGCCACATCTTTGCCCAGGCTATGGTCTTCCATGGGAGTGCCTGCTCCTCTTCCTTCCTTTATACTAGCCCTCGTCCCAGGTGAACTTGGTTTCTGGCACGTGGTGGACAGAAGGTTTTCCCCACTATCCCTATTCCCTGTCCCCTATCCCCCACTGACCCAGAATTACCTGTTGCTCCAGAGACTGTACCATCTCTCTCTGGAGGAGACATTGCGCCCTGCCCTTTTCATCCAGAAGATGGTCCTCCTGGCAGTGCCTAAGTAGGGAGAAGATTCTATGCAGGTGACCATGACAGGGCTGGCCTGGCTCAAGTGTGGTGAGCTGAGATGGGGCCAGGCAGGTGAGAGTGGGTAAGACACTCTGGGTGGAGGGGACAGCCTGTGCAAAGCCTGGCTGCAAGGACAGGACATTCGAGTTGCTGCTAAGGATCGTGTGTAGTGTGTGTGTGTGTGTGTGTGTGTGTGTGTGTGTGTGAGAGAGAGTGAGAGAGAGAGAGAGAGAGAGAGAGAGAGAGAGAGAGAGGGAGGGAGAGGGAGAGGAACTGAGAGGAGGCAGCAGCAGCCATCTGGAAGAGCTGGAACTTTGGGGACAGTGGAATAAGGCTGGCATGTTGGCATGAGGAGTAGCAGGGCAAAGCAGTTAGGAGTTCAGATTCTGGAGCCTGGCTGTGTGGGTTCAAATCCCAGCTCTGTCACTCAGGAGCTGGGAGATTTTGATCAAGACACTTAACCTCTTTGGCCTCAATCTCCTTGTCTGTAAAATGGAGATAAATAACAGCATAAATGTTTCTTATTACACATGAGGAAACTGAGGTCCGGAGAAGCTAAGTAACTTGTCCAAGGTCACACAGCTAGTGAGGGATGGAGCTGGGGTTTGAACCCACAGTCTCAGAGTTTACCTCTTTTGTCTTGCCCTCCCTTCTGATGGGATGAGGCCTGGGCTAGGATCTGCACCCCAGACCTCCCTCCACAAGCCAGGACTGGTGGACTGGCACAGGCCTGGGCCACTCACTTGAGGAAGTCCTCTGGCTCTTCGAAGACCTTCTCACATCCAGGCCACTTGCAGATGCCATTTGCCAGCAGTGGGTAGGAACTCTGGGGTGTGGCCGAAAGGGTGCTGGGGGAACAAAGGGTGTCAGGGGAGGGGATAGAAGGTCGAGGATCCTTCCCAGCCCTGTCCACTGACCTGTCCTTCCTGGGTGCACCGGGATTTGGGAAGGTGCAGAGCAGTGTCGGCTCCCTGGACAGCCACTCCACGCTGGCCACATTGATCCCTGTGGATGGGGACAGGGCACCTTTGGGGGCTGTGGGCTGGGCTCTGGAGCTTGGCCCACAAGGCCTCTCATTTTGAGCTTCCCACCCTCCTGAGCCTCGAAAACTCTGACTCCCAGGGGCTCTGCTGTCCCCAGATTCCCAGGCTTCTGGCAGAGAAGCTCAAAGACGGCCATTTGCAGGTGCTGACATTTTGACTAGCTTTGTAAAGCTCTGTGGTTTCGTAATTTTGACATTCGGCATCTTTAAGGTTCTGCACCTGACGTTTTTTGGAGGTTGGAGTTTCCAAGCCTCTGAGACCTGACACCTTTGACGTCCCAGAGGACTGCAATTCAGAATAGCCTACACTGCTCACGGCCAAGTATCTGGAAACTCGGGGGTTCTGTGAAGCCATGGGGTACGGGCTGGGGTGTTACCAGGTGGGAGGCCAGGCCGGGCCTTGAGGGAGAAGACCCCAGTGGTGGTGGTGGGCTGCGGGAGGCTGATCATGGCTGGGCTCTCCAGGGGGTGCACATGCAGCACAGGGGTCCGGGCGTGGGCATCCACTGTGGAGAGCTGGAGGGCACATGTGGGCTGTGGCTCAGCCTGACTTGGGGCCCCTCCCCACAGTTTTCCCACCTGCTCCCTCCTCCCTGCCCATTCATGGTCCATACCTGGTGCATGAAATGTGGCCTGTCCTGGAGGAGTGCCTGTAAGTGGGGCAAGGGGCCCAGCCGTGCCCCGGAGGGTGCCACCATGACTAAGGGCAGTGTGGGCAGCTGGGCAGAAAGGCAGGTGGGTGAGAGGTCATCCTCATCCTCACTGTTCTGTGCCTAGTTCATATACTCTGCACTGCAAGCCCACATGGTAGATACTATGATCGTCCCCCTTTTACACATGTGGAAACTGAGGCTCATGGAGATCGAGTGATTTTTTTTTAAGATCAAACAGCTAATAAATGGCAGAACTGGCCTCAACCCTGTCACCTCACCTCCTTGAGCCCCAGTCTTCTCTTCTCACATGGGGATGGGGACACATAGCGATGCCCATGGGACTATGATATGGTATCCTCCTCTCCTGAGACAGGGATTGGGAGGTCGGGGAGAGCCTCCGATCTCTGAGGCCTGGCAGGTGGGGACTTTCTTGGCCCTGCAACATCTGCATAAGTCACAGACTTGCCTGGGACCCAGAAACCACTTCCTGTGCCCCAGCCAACCCCCTCCCGCCTGGTGCCACAGTAAAGGTCGGCACCTGTAGGCCCAGGTACCCCACCCTGCCTGCCCCATCCTGGGCCCTGGGCCTCACCTGCAGCTGCGATGGTGGCATGGGATTCAAGGAGGAGGAGGAGGCATGGGCCCCGCCTCGAAGATCTCGGCCCTGGAGGGCTCCCCCTGGGCCCCGGGCTCCCAGCAGGTCTGAGGCTTTGGGTGCAGCCCTCCAGCTGGGTGAGGCTCCTGGGGATGGGCCAAGGGCCAAGGAAGGGGCTGAGGGCTTGACTGGCCTGGGGTTGGGCATCGAGTCCTTGTCCGAGAGCAGGCTGCATAGACATAAGGGAAAGGAGTCACACATGTGCCGGGGCAGTATGAAATACTTGACCACCTGAACCACGTGGACACCCCTCTGGTCAGAGTAGGCATTGGCTGGGACATGTCTCAAAGGGCCTCACAGCTGCACTCCAGCTCTGGACACACACACACACACGTGCGTCAGGAACATAGGTACACGTGGACACCCCTCTGGTCACAGCAGGCAATGGCTGGGACATGTCCCGAGGGGCCCCACAGCTGCATCCCAGCTCAGGACACACACACACACACACACACACCCCACACACGTGTGTCAGGAACATAGGTATACGTGGACACCCCTCTGGTCAGAGCAGGCATTGGCTGGGACATGTACCGAGGGGCCCCACAGCTGCACCCCACCTCAGGACACACACACACACACACACACACACACACACACACACCCCCACACACACGTGCGTCAGGAACATCGGTACACGTGGACACCCCTCTGGTCAGAGCAGGCATTGGCTGGGACATGTCCCGAGGGACCCCACAGCTGTACCCCAGCTCAGGACACACACACACACACACACGTCGGGAACCCAGGTACACGTGCATACCCACACACGCCCCACATGCACAGGTCCAGCACCTGGCTTGCCTGCCCATGCCAGCACAGCCCTGGTGTGTACAAGGGCAATGGTTGTTTCTCTTTCCACTTGAGAGCTGTCTTCAAGCCTCAGGTCTCCAGCCCTCCCTGCACCCTGCATAGGCTGCCTTTGCTTATCTTGCTGGACCTAGTCTCAGACTTTCTCCTGGGAGTCCTATTTTGCCCTGTGACTAAGCATGGACTCAAAAAATTCATCTGGGTGCTGTGAGTGGGGCTAGTGAGGAGGCTATTGCAACAGTCCTGGCAAGCGATGATGCTGGCACAGAACGGGCTGGTGGCAGTGGAGAAGGTGAGAAGTGGGTAGATTCTGAGACTAATCTGAAGCTGGATCGGGAGCAGTGCAGGCAGCTTGGATGTAGTGGGTAAGAGAGGGAGGGTCAAAGTGACATGGGTTTTAGCTTGAGTAGCTGGAAGGGCTGAGCGGACATTACCTGAGATGGGGGATATGGCAGGGAGTGGGGTTAGGGGTGAAAGTGCAGCTGTGGATGGACATGAAGAGTCTGGCATTAGATGTGTGAGTGGAGAGGCTGAGGGAGCAGCTGAATAAGGGAGTCTGGATCTCAGGGCAAGGAGGCGAGTCCAGAAGTGTGATCATGCATGGATCTAGCACGGCAGGTGCCAGAGAGGAGGAGAGATGGGCTTTTTTGAACTGGGGCCTGTGGAAACTCCTCAGCCCAGCCCCCATCAGAGTTCACCTCAATTTCTGGCCCTCAAGCCTGGCTCATGCTACTTGCCCTGCCTGGAATGCCCACTCCTTCTCCTCTTCCCCTGTCTAAGCCATGCAAGGCCTGCTCTTCTATTGTCTTCACCTTGAAAGCTCTCCACAATGGCTCCAGGTCCCTCTGCTGAACCCCAGAACATTCCACTTCCTGAGGGAAGCCTTGGCTTTTCGGGATCCTGTAATCCTGGCCTTAGAGGAAGCCAGGGCTGGAAGGGACTGCCTAGCCAACCCCATTTTACGGAAGGGGATGCTCAGATGCTGAGTTTCATAGTCTCACAGCGATTTGAGAACTCTACTTTCTTTAGGAAGTGTGTGTCCATGTGCACATTTTACAAACTCTCCGGTGTGTGTGTGTGTGTGTGTGTGTGTGTGTCTGTGTCTGTGTCTGTCTGTCTGTCTTGTCTCCCTGTCTCCCCGTTCCACCTCACAACACTGAGTTGGGCACACAGCTGCCGACAGCAGCCTGGGGGAGTATAGAAGGGTTGTGGGGTGGCAGTTGTCCCTTCCTTTCTTTGCTGTCACCCCCTGGGGGTTGTCAGAGCTGTGGTGCTGAGGGAGATGAGTGTGAGAATACAGGTATTAAGTTCTTACTCTCCTGGGGGCTTAGAACATTACTGTGTGAGAATCCAGACTGTGGGTGGAGGCTCCGAACAAGGGTCTGTGAGAGTACTGATGAGATGATGTGAGTGAATGTATGAGTGAATGAATGAAGCCAGAGATGGGGTGATGCTCCTTCAAGCCAAGGAATAACAAAGATCGCCATCAACGACCAGAAGCTGGGGGAGAGGCCTGGAACAGCTTCTCCCTCACGGCCCCCAGAAGGAATCAACCCTGCCAACACCTTGATCTTGGACTCCGGCCTCCAGTACTGTGAGATAATCAATTTCTGTTGCTGAAGCCACTCGGTTGTGGTACTTGGTTACAGCAGCCAGAACAAACTAATACCGATTTTGGTGCGAACGGATGTTTTCCATCATTCTGGTCTGGCCCACGCAGCTGGCCTGCGGTCACTTCTGAAGCTGCCTGGACATGTGGCCAGAGCTAAGAATTCTCCCCAACACATGTGGGATGGCCTGACTCAGCGAAGCATAGATACATTCTCAGACAAGGACATGGAGATGATCTGTCTGGGAGTAGGGGACCTGGAGGGTCGGGCTGGGCAGCTGGCTTCCTGCACTGTCTGTTGGGACGTCCCTTTCTGACTAGGTTTCTCAGAAGCTGAATGGGGGATGTTTCTGGGACACAGATCATGTTTTCATATCGGGGTCTGCATCTGGGGCCTGTTGTCACAGCCCTTGACTTGCCCAGATTTTTCCGCCATTGACGTCATGGCGGCCGGATGCGCTGGGCTTCATCGACACCACGGAGGAAGAGAAGAGGGCAGATACCCCACCCCATAGGTTTCGTTCCGAGAACTGTCTGCCCTGTCCTGTAGCAGGCTTGGCCCAGGTGGGGTGACGTGGGTGCTGGTGGATGTGGTAGGTGATGTCCATCTGGCCACTGTGACAACCCCCTGGCTCTGTAGGCCTGGCCCTTCTTGAGTTGTAGAGAGGATCCAGGTTTGAAGCTCTGAGAGTACCAGGCATGGGACCCCTGGGGTCTTCAAATAGTATAACACCAGGACCTCAGAATCATAAAACAGCATTCCTTCGATTTAAAGGATCCTAGAATCTCAAAACCACAGACTGTGGGGTCTACAGTCCTAACTTCTCAGTATGTATATAGGCCAGTGTCTCTGGTGTCCAAACTCCCTGGAACCACCTGAAGGTCAGGCAGCTCGCTGCTTCATAGGGCCTCTTGCCTACCAGGCCTGGAACCACGGCCAGCCTCCGCAGGGCCTGTCTCTCTGTCTACTCTGGAACAACATTCCCAAATTCATGGCCGTTCCGCCAGAGATGGCAACACGGGGAGGAGGAGGTTGAGGCTGGTGTGCCTTTGGCCTGGGCCTCACAGGGGGAGCTGGAAAAGCCTCCACCTTTGCCAATACAGAACCCACCACCAAACTCTCTGGACGGGCCCCACGATCAACATTCTCAGAGACCAGCACCAGCTCTGGGGACACAAAACCTGACTGACGGACACGCTTCCATCATCACCATACTCTGGTCAACTAGGCCTCCTGACCTATGGGGCCTGGGGCCTCACCTAGCCCAGCTCTTATGAGGCTGGGCCCCATGCTGTGATTGTGGATCATCTAGTCTGTGAGAAGTTAGGGTCCAACATGTGAGAAGGCAGAAGGGGGAATGGTGGCCCAGGTCCCCCTTCCCCTTATGGGTGCTGAGGGGTAAACAGGCCTGCAGTCGGGGAGAGAGCCAGAGCCAGGATCCTACCTAGAGTCGTGAGATCTAGGCTTGAGTTTCAACTCTGCCGCTGCATTTCAGTGAGGCCCTGGGCTTTCTGGTCCTCAATTTTCCCTTCTACAGTGAATGGGGAGCGGTGTGGGGTAGATGAGGGCCAGGGCCCTTCTATGCTGTGTCCGGGTAAGTCATTAGGTATCTTCAGGGATTCAAGTTGACAAGTGCCCCTCTATCTAGGGGACTGGTAGGGATACATAGAGATAAAGAGATACATACAAAGAGTGAGAGAGAACAAGAGATGGTGAGAGACATGGAGAGAAACAGAGACACGTAAGAGAGCAAGAGTGCACGAGTGCGAGAGGATTTCCTCAAATAACATTTTCTGGTCTCTGGCTGGTTCAACTGATGCTGCCTGAAATAATAACGAATAAAGAAAGGCAAGGTGCCAGGGGCACCCATAGTTGGGTGTTGAACTGTATTGCAAAGTAACAATCAGAAAAACAGTGTGGCCCTGGTGTAAGAACAGATACTAGGGAAGAGAACAGAATAGAAAGCTCGGACATGGACTCACATATGGAGAGAACTGAGTTTGTGCTGAATGTGGCACTTCAAACTGGAGAATCATAGAGGGTGGATTGTTTAACAAATGTGTCTGAGATAATTAGGGAGGAGATAAAGTTATTGACTGAATAATCAGTCCATTATCCCAACAACCCTTCCTTGCCCAGTTTGAAATGGCACATCATTATATACCCTAAAATACTCAGATCCATTCAAGATATACATTTTAATACCTAATGCTGATCTTGGGTTTATTGTGTGTCAGGCCTTGTGCTAAGTATTTACTGTGGTTAAAAATTTCAATCTATAACAAAGACTACTGAGGAAGGTACTATTATAATCATCACGGTACATATGAGGAAATGGAGGTAAGGAGAGGTTAAGTGCCTGGCTAAAAATCACACACAGGGTTTGGGGTGACGCTGAGTTTGTCCCAGACAGTCTGGCTCCAGTACCCACATTCTTAACCTCTACAGTAAATGGAAAAAATGAAGCCATAAAAGAGACTAGAAGCCAAAACAGGTGAACATTTATCTGATTTTCAAGTGGGAAAGGACTTTCTAAGCATAAAACCAGAGACAGAAGCCACAGGAAAAAAAGACTAACCTATTTGACTATATAAAACCATCATAAGCATCACAAAAAACACCATAAACAAATAGAATAAAACAGATGATGAATTGGGGAAAATATTTGCTATATATATGTATGGCTGATGAAAGGTTAATAACCATTCCAAATAAAGAGTTGTGGCAAATCAATAAGAGAAAAATAAGATGAACACACTATTGGGAGCAAAGACATAACCAGACAACCAAAAAAAGAAAAGAAAAAAAGGACAAATGGCTAATAAACAGTAAAAGTAATCAAAAGATGCAAATTTCAACAATGCGATAATGTGTTTTTCTTACATTATCTTATCATGGTGGGAAATAATTAAAAAAATAATACTCACCCAAGGTTAGCTAAGTAGAGGGAACATAAAATAGGATAACGTTTTGGAAGGACAATTTGCAGAGAGGGTCGTAAAGTTTAAAAATGCCCAACGCCTTTGCCCCAGAAACTCCCTTTTCAGGAATCCAAGGAAGCAGTCGGGGATGTTTATAGAAAAAAAACGAGAAACAACCGGAATGTCCAACAATTGGCACTTGGTCAAATTAATCAAAGTTCATGCTGATGTGAGGACAGTCTTGTCCATCATGAAAGATCACATGTTTAAACCATTATTGGTAAGTTTCAAAAACACTACTGTTAATTGAATAAAGCAGGAACAAAGCCAATATATAGGATGATTCTAATTTGGTTACAGAAATACTAATAGTTAACACTTCGCGAGCACTTACTGTGTGCCAAACGCTTTGCTAAGCCTGCAGAATCGAGCTCACCCCAGCCGTGAACAACCTGCTCGCTTCCTGAACATGGGCTCTGGTCACACACATGCAATCCTGGGGTAGGTCCACACAGCTAAACCACGGTTGACAATGGCGTGAAGTGCCCCCAGTCCCCCCACCCCCCACAGAGGATCTCCTCTAAAGTGATACAAGCAAAGTTCAGTTAAGTGCTCAGCTTGCCCCGGCACCTCGCAATCCTCCTGCTACCAGGGTGAACAGAACTGATGCTCACTCTCGTAAAATGTAAAGGTCCTCAGTGACATTACTATTATTAAGCGCCAGCTGTGTACAAAGCTCTAGGCTGGATGCTGGGTGAGAAGGCAGGCAGGGGAAGGCAAGAAAAGAGAGCGGGAAAGATGGAGGAAAGGAGATCGATGGAGTGTGGTCAAGATGGAGGAGACACAGACAGGGAGATGGTCAGAGGCCAGGAGAGATGCGGGGAAAGAGTGTCTAAGTGGAGCGACAGACAGATGGTGGGAGAAAGAGAGGTAGAGAAACATGTAAAAGAGCGAGACAGGGTGAGCATAGAGACAGAAGAAGGACGAGAGGCATCAAGAGCTAAGAGACAAAGAGATGGGAGAGATGCAGTTGAAATTTCCAGTCGCACCTGGACAGCATTTCAAGTTGTTCAAAGCTCTGAAATCCATAAAGACTGGCAGCTGATATATTTAAAAAAATCCTACCCATCTATGTATCAATTGATGAATTTATTTAGCTTTGCTCCTGATTAAGTACTTCAACTTTAAGTCTTCTGGCATTTATTCTATTATTATTTTCTTAAAGACCTTACCTGGCTGGAATCATGGTAGCTGGGTGCATCCCACTGTATCAGAGGGCCCTGACCCCGCAGTGCCTACCTCTCTGCCATCTCCTCCAATGGGGCCCACATCTGGTAGTGGAGAGCGGGGACACTCACCTTGATAAAGTGGACCGACAGAAAAGGATCAGCCTGGCTTGTGGGAAACTGTCACGTATCAAAAACAACTTTGCTTTTATACCGAGAAGAAAAACCACGGTGTGGAAGCCACAGACCTCTCTCTTCTAATAATCCAAATTTTTTTTCGATGAGTGTGTGCGCTGATAATCACGGGGGGGGGGGGGATTCTCATAGTTCTCTCTCTCTCTCTCTCTCTCTCTCTCTCTCTCTCTCTGTTTCTCTTTTTCTTGATTATGAGACTTAAACGGAAATTTTCAAATTTTGGGTTTTTTCTTTGCCCTTTACGAGTCATCTGAAAATATGATTTCTTCCCTTCACCACAGAGGTGAGAGGTATCAATGAGATAACAGGGCTCTCATGAGAAACCACAGTTTTTAAAACAAAAGTGTGTAAAGTTTGAAAAAAAAAAAAAAAAAGCAACCAGGGAAAAGAACTAAAATAAATCACAGGGCCATCCTGAAGCAGGCAGAGACACCATTCTGTGAGTGAGAGGATATTTGAGGGTCTCTGGGGAAAGAGAGAAACTGAAGCCCTATGTGTGGATGGGAAATGCCAGGGAAAGGGACAGGACTAGGGCTGGGTTTCCATAGGCCTCGCCCTGCTCCAGGCCTCAGTTTCCCCATAGATGGAATTGGTATGGTCCCCATTGCTCTACCCAGAGAGGGGAGTTCTGGACCCTCCTGCAACAACTCTCCTACAGAGGGTGAGAGCCATGTAAGTTACTTCACAGAGGAGAAAGCGGGAGCCCACCGTCATCCCCTACAATTCACGGAATCGAAGAGTCGGAGAATCACTGGCTCCCAGAATCCACTGACAGTTACCGAATGAGGAAAGAGAGGAAAGTCTTGCCTCATCACGCTTTAGGGCTTGAGTGCCCTGACCTAGCCACCGCCCCACTGGGAAGATCCCCAGTATTAATGCGTCCGTCCTCACGAAGAAGCCCAGAGGCCCACTGGGATCCTGACCCTCTAGTTTCAGGAACATCATGGCCTGATGCTTCTGAGGCGCTCAGCCTTTGGGATCTTTTACTTCGAAAAGTCCTAGTTTCCAAGGATTTAGGATTCTATATATCCACCATCATCTCAGTAGCTGATGTTTATCTTGAATTTTCCGTGGGTCAGATACAGCGCTGAACACATCTCACAAGTGATCACGTTCAAACCTCACCATGGCCCCTTGAGCTCCATCTCATCATTATTGTATTGCTGTTATACAGATGAAGGAAATGGAGGCTTAAGTAGTCAAGCAACTTGCCCAAGATCACAGAGCTGACGAGTGTGGGTCCTGCTTTCTTTGGTGCCAGGTTTTGAAACCCCCAAGTTTTCTTGAAGTTGATGGTCTCAGGTTTTAAATTCTAGGATGTGATGACAGGGAGATTCTGGGATTTGGAGAGTCATTGGAGACTTGAAGCTTGTGAAGTTTTTAGGTTGTCCAGCAATTAGCGGCTACATTTCTTGACCTCAGCAGGCACAATCTCCAACCACTGGTCAGCATGGTAGACCAGCCCCCAGGGGCTTCTCCAGGCCATGATGGAGACTTCCAGCTCCCAGCACCCTGCAAAGCCCAGGGTTCTAGTTGTCCACGTCCACTCCAGCCCTTTACAACACTGGCTTCAGACCTGGGGAAGAGAAATTGGAAAAAGCTTTTTATTTACATGGTACAAATCTGGTAGCCAAGACCCACCCCTTCACGCTTTTGTCCCCTTTCCTCCCTCTACCTTCTAAGCCTTCATAAAAAGGAGGGCCTGCTTCCTCAACTCAGACTCACCCTTCTGGAAAAGCCCAGAGTGGGCCTGATGGCCTGGCTTTGTGAAGACAAGAAAAAAAAGCTCAAATAGAAAAAAAAAAAAAAAAAAAAAGACCTTAAAAAAATCAGCCAACAACAACAATTAAAAAAAAAAAAAAAAAAACCCAACCCTCTCTACCATTAGTTCAAAACAAAACTTTCGCTGGTTGAGGCTTCTGAGTTGGTGGGACACATCTGAGATTCAAAAAATGGCATGTGTTCGATGTGTTGGACAGCTAGGGGAGGGACAAAGGTGGGATGAGGTCCCCTGCTTGGAGGCTTGCAGGGACCCTGTGAACAGCAGGTGTCTAACAGATGTCGCAGCATGTGGGAGGGAGCAAGGGAGGGGGTAAAGGGCATGCATGTCAGGAAGGAGACCTGGGGAGCTGACTCTAGTGATGCCCCCAAGGTTAATGACCCCTTGCAGTGATGTTCCCAAGGTTAATGACCTCTTGTTCCCTGCAGACTTGGGTCGGAATGTTCCCTACATGTCCTGTGTAATGATAAACCAGGCCAGTTCTATCAGCAGAAGCCTTGTTCCCTGCCCCCACACCTGTCCCTTCCTGGAAAAGGGGGCTAGTTTTCTCTCTCAGGATCAGAGGTGTGGGCTGCATCCTCCTTACCC